AAAAGAAAATAAAAAATGACTGAAATGACCCAAAATTCCTTTTTGAAAAGTGTTGTTTTCAGTAGGACTTAGAAGAAACACTGAAATTAGCCTCCTAAAACTGACAATTGGTTCAATGCATTCTTCTGCACATTGTAGATTTACATTTAATGAGGTGGCCTATTAATTGCCAATAAACGGCTCCCTCTCACCCAATCTGCTTTAAACTCGACACCAGGCTTCTTCAGGTCCCCGGCGACACACCTGCCAAGGCTGAAGCGGATCAAATGAAAGGTTGTCGAGATAAATGCAAAGAAATTACACAAACAGACACACACTTGAAGATTCTAGAACTCTGCTGTTACTGATCTCACTGATGCATCAAGAAATCTGCCTCTGCATGTGTGCGTGCGTGTGTGTGTGTGTGTGTGTGTGTGTGTGTGTGCGCTCATGCATGTGCTGCGTGTTTTTTTGCATGTGTGTCTCTTTACAATCCCCTTGTGAAACCTCAGGCCATTTAATTCAGCTTTTCCACTTCAGTCCTTCCTGCCTTTTCTCCCCCTTATCTCCATTCTGTTTTGTTTAGGATCTTTTGGGATATAATGACCTTATATAATTATCTAAAAGAAGATATCTAGCATTTATACATGAAAAACATGTAAAATATCACATATGTGAATGATAGAAATGCCAAAAGGTTGTATCAAACCACGTAAAAGAACAAACAAAGAACACAATTGTGTTTTTTGGCTTTTAGAATTTAGAACCTTTTCTCCTCAGTGATATTTAAAATACTCTCTTTATTCGTGTAGAAGTGATTTACTGAAGATCAGTAGGACATCCCATCCATTCCTTCTCAGTAGTTCAGGAATATCTATTGTCTTAACTAGACATAGATCCATTAGAGATAATTAATGTCACAGTTAAATAGTCCACTGACAAAGATTATTGTCAGTCTTGTACTGTAATTTACTGCTTTCCCTCCCCCCTCCTCTGTCTCTCTGCCCTCTTTTTTCAAATCTAGAGTCTCTCTTTAATCATCTTTTTAATTTACAGTTCAGCAATTTTGACACAAATGAACTCTAGTTGAAGTCAAGATTGTAGTGAGATGATCCTACATACATAGTGACACAGTAGAAAGCTAATGTGCACACGACAGTAGCATCATCATCTTTATCGATGTAAATGCAAAAACATACTGTACATGATGTGCATGCCCAAAACTGTAAAATCCATGTTCACATTCACATCACAGATGCATGTGTGTTTTTTCCCACCATGAATCTGGGTCAACAGCAGAGACAAGCTGTAATAAACCCCACAAGGTTGTAGCTCTCCCCTTTGATGATGTTTGGGACTGCAGGACGTTCTGTGATGGAACATTTCTTACAGTGCTCACAGATCTGCTTACACATCGAGGAGGCTCTTAGTAATCAGTGTATTTCAATAAGCCCAAGTCTCAGCGGGGTGCTAAATTTGCCTCTGAAGTTCACCTCTGCGATCATGGAAAACATTGATCAATGCTTGCAGGATCTGAGGGGCATCAACAAAGCAGCATCGAGCCCGGCTTGGTTCTCTTCGTGCTGCTGGGTGGACACAGCTCAGTGGAGCTGCTCGAGTGTAAATGGCTGTGTGTGAACGTGTACAACTCTGTTCCACCTAAGAGACGCTTTCCTGAGGCCATGAACACGTGTTCAGTCACCTTGCTTGAGTAAATACGAGACAATTCTCTGTTTAAAACAATCTCCCCTTGAGGCTTCAGTCCACACAGTAAAGAAAACTGCAAACAGCTGTGACCAGCTCGCCTAAAGCTCATGTTGACTGTAAGCATTTGTTTTCTAACTTAAATCAACCTGCAAATGGTACAACTTTGTGCGCATTCTTTATTTAAGAAACTGTGTTTACACCATGGTAAACGTTTGAGTTGCTAATAACAGCCACACTATGCAACAGAATCGCTGTGTTGTTTTACAAATAAAGACCTTCCTCCATTCTTGTAAACTACTACAGTCCCAGGCCAGAAGACAGGATGCAGACGGTCACAGAACACGGTGAAGAGGACAGATAAGGGTAGTGATGCAAGGAATTAACAAGGGGCTTTGTTGATAAATTAATTAATGTGCCAGCTCTCTGCTGGTTTGCTGACACTGCTCTGAGGTCTACTGATGGCTTGTTGGCATTCATGGCTTGCTTGACTTTGTCTCGGACACGCATGACTGAATTAGTTTATTTAGGGGATGGACTGAATTAGATTTAAAAGATCTTATGCTGAAAATAAGAGAGAGAGAAAATCAGCCTCACAATTACAGTTTACAGTTGTGCAATTGTGCAAGGTAATGTAATAGATGTGGAGGGAAATTTGATGGCACTGTTCTCTGCATGGTAAAATGATACATGACTGCCTCCCTGTGGTCAGCAAGACAAAGCAAAATTGAGTTTAATTTGACAAAAAAGAAAAAAGGAGTAATCTTCTTTTCTGCAGATTATTAATGTAGAGAAAAAAAATGCAGAGATATGGTTATTGGCATAAATAGATTTTTTTTCCTCAGCTTTAAATGTGTTGAAATAACCTTCAATGTGCACTTGGCGTAAATTTGAAAAAGGGGCTTGGAGAGGGCTGAAAATATGTGTATTACTTTATTATTACAAGATAATAGCACTTGTAAACTTAAAGTTTCAAATTTTTTGTGCATATTACATGCAAATCACTTTAAGAGCTGTTTTTGCATGTGAATTCCTGATAGTGGGATTTTATTGGTCTTACACATTAACAGTGATGAAACCAGATTTCTATTATTTGGAAGCATAATATTTTACCCGTAAGACACCAAGTGTCACATTATGGTGCTGAATGACATCACTGGCAGCTGTTTCCCAATGTTTAATGGAAACTTCCATCCACAGAGGTCAAACAAATGTATTTAATTTAGTTTTTTGTGCATTCAGCCAACAGTTCATTGGTTGTTCTGATAATGTTAGGAATGTTTTATACCCTACTGACATTCAGATGGCCATAACAGTATGCAATTGTCAGCAAATGGATTATGTTTTATAAAATATTAGAAAAATTCTGTGCAGGCTTCCCCCTAACTGAACTTGGATTCCTTTGGAGCCACAGAGTAACTGATTGTCTGCTTTCCTTCTGTCTAAATGTTGACAGGCTGGACAGCTGGATCTCCACACCCTCAAAACAAATTCTGTTTCAGATAGCAAGATGCTGTTGAATATTTTAGATGCCTTCAAGGTATCTTCTGTGAAACAATGTGTTACACAGACTGACACTGGAGGCATTGGGGACGTCTTTGTTTCATTTCATTTGTTCACCAACAGACAGTTTCTTATTACAGGAAAGTTCAACTCAGAACAACCTTAAATGTTTGTTACTTTCAATCTGGCTTCGCAATGTTTAGATGTGTTTTTAGAACGACAGGGTGCCAAAGTTTGGAAACCAAATCGACAGTCAAGTTTATAAAAAGGCTAGTGATAAATTACGCTTAAGTATCACAATAACTCTAAGTTATGTTGTAAAGTTTGGTAAAAATGGCACAAGAACATCACTGGTCTTCGTTTATACATAACTGGAAGAACTGAGCTTCACAGTCAAAGTGAAAAACCTGAGTTGGAGCCCATTAGAATACACTGGTGAATAATAATAGAGAGTTGGAACAAAATCCTTTTGCAATAAACTTTATTCATATCACAGGCACCCTGTGCCCTCAAATCTCTTTATTTGAAACTGGGATCTTGGCATTACATTCATTGTACAGAATGTCCAGCATTTCTTAAAGCTCTCAAAACTACATTCAAAAGATATGAAGATGCAAATGATTTTCAGAAAATAAATCTGCTGGAAATATACAATACAAAAATACATGTCTTCTCACATTTGATTATTATAACAAGACCCTATGTAGTTCACTACAATGTCATGAAGGTTTCTCCAAAACTCACTCAGTCCACTTTGACTAGTTTTGTGTAAGTTAATGCTTACATTTCTATAAAGTGAAGTCGTGAAACTATAAACATCTGCACACTTTTATGAAGTGTTGATTCTTTAGCCATAGCAACACTTGTGTCTTCAAGAAACTAAATTAGTATTGCAAAAGTTACCTGGTAAAGTTTGTTTGGTAAATCATGTCACATCTCTGTGCAGGTTTATTTTGATTCTGTGAGCAGCTCAGCAAATACAATATCTGCAATCCATTTGAAATCATTTGATTCTGTTCCAATCTTTACCTTAGATAATGTCGTCCCCTCACTTAAACCAGTCGAGGCAGACGAGTCTGATTCTGCTTAAAGTTTTTCCCATTTAAAGGAAGATTTTACTTTGTGGTTGCCAAGTGCAGCTTACTGGGAATCGTTGGGTTTCTCTTTATACTCTACTATAAGGTGGTGACCTAAACATTTAATATGCCCTGAGATGACCGGTCATATCATTTACTTCTTTTAGTTGGGTAAATTTGTAGTAATAATCCTTTGTCACAAGTGAAAATCGCTTTGGATCAACTTCTGTTAAACCTGAATGTGCTGTACAACTAAAGGTGTCTAAAGGTGACATGAAAGGCTCTTTCTTACAAAGAAAATATTGCCATTGGAAAAATTCATTGGATTCCCTTGTTGGGTAAGAAGTAACTGTATTTGTCTATTTTGTAAATTGTTGTGGTTCGCTATATGTGGGCGGTTGATTTTAACACAATAGCGGACTGAGTGAGTTTAGGAGAAACTGTCCATAAAAGGCTTAATGAAGGAACATGCTCTTACTTCACATCTCTTCCCAAAAAGTGGAACAAAGTATTCTAAGTGAATGTGCGGACAACTGAGCATTAAGCAGTGAATTGGAACCGAAAACATTAATATGTAAAACATGCAAAAATGAGAAAATACAAACATTGGAAATGTGGACAACGTTAACAATCATCCTTAAAAATGTGCACCTTTAGTACCTTCAACAAATACTCCCTTCTTTTCTGCTCAGTTCCTGTACGTAATCCCGCTCTGCTAACCACAGATCACACCTACGTCTTCCCCATGTGAGCAATTGTGTTTCCCAACCCTGGACCTCTTGCACTCCAGCAGTGATCTCTCCCCACCTTCACACTCCACATCATCCAGCAGGATCCTGACGCTGCCGTCCGCCTCACCCAACGCCGCCCTCTTCATCACTGCCAGCGCCTTTGTAAAGCCGAGCTGTCGGCACACTACAGAACCCGCCTTGGCACTGAAAAGGTCATCGCACACCGTTCCCCACTCCCCTCGCAGGAAGATCTCCACTCTGCCTCGATCTGATAAACCATCAGCGCTCACTAGTCGCACTGTGCCGCCCCGCAGCCTTCTCCCGTCTCTTCCCCTCTTGTAGCCTCTACCTCTACCTTTCATTCTGGGCTTCTTGTATACTTGGTTGCCCTCTCCGGCACTTTCCAGCTTCTCCCCAAGCCACAGCTTCTCTTCCCGTGTTTTAGGCGGTGTTGTGCTGATTGGTGTCCTCTGGGGCTTCTGGTTCAAATACGGTGCCCACGTTGTGGTCATCGCTCCAAGATGTTTGGGATAAGGTGTCGAGTTCAAAGACACCTGGGGCCTTTTCGGCGATGTTGTGGAGGGAGGAGAAGGACGTTGCGTTGGGCTTAAAGGTTGGGAGGTGGCACTGGGGGGGTACTGAAGGGGTCTCTCAGGTCGTCTTGGTGAAGCTGTTGTGATGACTGGGGTTTGAGCAATCCTAGAGGAGGCTGCAGTCATGATGGTTGCGCGATAACCTGAGGGAGAGACAGAATCACCCTCTTTATTTGAATATATGTAGTTTAAGATGTGCTAAAGCTGTAATCATTTTACATTTCGGGAAATACGCTTATTTGGTTTATTTGGCTTATGTTTAGCCGCTGGTTAGCCTGTTGGAAACGAGAAAAACGCAAGATTGGTCATGTCCGAAGGTGACAAACCTACCTGCCTGCTCTATAAGACATTACTTGGTTCTGGTTTTGATTCAGTAAGACAAAGTGCGAATGATTTGAGGAAATCTTTCCATCTAGCCAAGAAATTGTTTAGCGCGTAACATCTCTCTCTCTTTTTTTTTTTTTTTTTTTTAAATGTAAAACAGAAACAAATGAGACATAATATGTTAATTAGTGAAAGCTATCCAAGCTACTCCCCTTTTTTTACAGTTGTTTACCAGACAACAGAACATTAGCATTGATTCTCTTAGTTCACTCTTGATTCAAGAAAGTAAATATGCATATTTCCCAAAATGTTAAACTACTGCTTTAACTAAAATACCAGATTGATAATTGAAGAACTCAGTGTGTTTGACAGAGATCACAGTTTACTAAAGTCAATTAAGCAATGTTATCATTACAGAATTCCAAAGGAAGGACATAGACACAGACACACAAGGATGAATGTCCAAACTGAGGCTGATGCAGAACCATTTATTCAAAATAAATAATTGCCAAAGTACCCGGCTTAAATTAAAGTAGTGCAAATACCTGACACATAAATAAGCACCATTTATCACCCTGCTTTAGATTCTTGTACCAGCCAAAGAAAAGCATATTAGTCGGTTTGGGAACGAAGGCCACTTCAGCTACTTCCACCATACCTGAGTTTGACAAAAGCCCATGCAAAATGCTCATCCCAAGTTTATAACAGGTGAACTTAAGAGTAAAAAAATAGCCCAGAAGTTGAGACATGGAACACTATTATGATTAACATTAAATTTCCATAAATTTCATAGCATTTCATTTATTTAACCTTTAAATATGTAAATGTAAATATTATTTTCATCTCTTGTATAGGCCATGATTTCTTTTCGCTTCCAGCGCAAAGTTGTTGCAAATTAATTGCTAAGACTGATATGAAGCAATAATAAATGCTTGTTTGAGTGCATACTGATTTATGGAATCTTGAAAGTGGTAATAATAATAATAATCATCAGTTCAGTAATTGATTAGATTATTAAACTCAGTATTTTTTGTTTAATTACTGTGACCACAATTTAGAGAATAACTTAAAATATATATATATCATATATATTTATATTTCAATCTCATTTATCAGTTATGTTTATTGGCTCTTTAAATGTAATGTATATACCTCCAAGCTTTTATCAAACAGTAAACACTTATCTATATACCTGTCATGTCTATTACCTATACAACAAAAATGTCATGCAGCTTTAAATGAAATGCTATCACAGCCAGAAATAAGCTAAAGTGCAGCCTCATCTACTCTGCAAAAAAGCGGGAAAAAGTCCTGCTCAAAAGACTTAGCTGCTAAGCTGTTTATTTCAGATTTATTGTGATTTTATCTCTTTGTAATAATTTTTTTTATTTAGCATTCTTAGCCATTACAAAACCTGCAGCTGACTACTGTAGCAATTAAGACCCCTGGATTGCGTAACAGAGTAGTTGTTGTTGCATTTGAATGGGGTGTAATATTACAAAAAAAAGTTACACTAAGCTAAGTTGCAAAGAATGTTGTTTTTAAAATGAATCCTGTAGTTGTGAAATGTTAATTGAGCTATTAGGTTGTTAAAAAGTAAAGCAAAAACAGAGTGCAGAAGAAGAAACCACTTGACTTGATGCTGGTGGCTTCTCCCCGTGCCAGCGTGTGCACTGGTCTACTGGTGGGTTTATTGTTAGTCCTAACAGTGAACTTAGCCCTTGGGTTAACAGTTGGCCTAGAAGTTGAGTGATCAGTGGAGCTAGGTTGATAAACAGGTTCCACAGCAGGCCTACCAGTGGATGTGCTTGTGGCGGGAGTGGTCACCATGGCCATCTGGATGGTTGTTGGTGCGGTTGTTGGTTTTATTGTTGTGGCTGCGGTTGTTCTAATTGTTGCTTTAATAGTCGGTGTTGTTGCTGGTAATGTTGCCTTTGTCGTTGGTTTTCTTGTTGTCTGTAATGTTGTTTTTCTCGTTGTCGCTGTTGTTGTTGTTGTTGTTGTTGTTGTCATTGTTGTTGGTTGTGGCAGTTTTCTTATTGTTTTTCTTGTTGGCATTGGTGGTTTTATTATTATTATGGGTTTTCTTGGTAGTTTTTTAGCTGTTGTTGTGGTTTTTGGTGTGGTCGTCGTGGGAACAGCTGTGGTGGTCGGTTTCCTGTTGATTACCAACTCTGCAAACAAGAAAATAAGAAATAAAGACATTGGTACACTGTTAAAAAAAAAAAAATTCCGGATGTTGGTACATGATGGAGGAAATTCCAAGCTTGGTCTGTGGTTTTAAGTGCATATCAAATATCTTGTTTTTCACAGTCATTATTAATCATGCAATTGACCATTTTTTGAAAAGAATTTGTTCTTGATGCAGACCCCAAACCTGAACATTTTTAATGTTCGCTCATGTAAGAATAGAAAAATTCACAATGTATCCATGTTGATAATACATCCACAGTTCTGCACTAAATTACTGCTTAATCTTTAATCTGCTTTCCCCAAAAGGACAGAGCAAAAAATGCATTGTCATGTATTGATAGATGCTTTGTGTCCGCATTTTGAAACCACACGTCACACTAACAAGATAGAATAAGAAATATGATTATGACATAACAGACAAAGCTTTAATCCAGTGACGCTCCATAAGGATTTGGATGGAAGTTTAGAGTTTCTATAAAGAGCACCAACAAAAGAAAATAACTAAACTAAAAGTAGAAAAGTATAACAAGGAAATGAAAGAAAGAACCATTATTTTAGAATTTTCTTTACCTTCTTTGGGGTGGAAATGAACCAGTTTTCCCTTTATCTTAACAGGTGAAGGCTTGATGCTGCATTTTCCAGGTGCTGCTCGTCTGTGTGTAGTTAAGAAAGACAACATTTGCCATTTGCACCCACATATAATATGTAATACTTATGTAATATGTATGTACTAGCTACTTTTATTAAAGCTACACTGGTACTTTCATTGGGCAGCTATATCAGCTGATGTTGATGATATATAAAGAACAGACAGAAGAGGGCACTGACAGTACAAATTATATTCAAATATAATATACTAGAAAAGCTCTAACCAGGTCTAATGAGTCTAAATTCAAAATTCAAAATCTAGTTGGTCTTGCTTCTGGTGAAAGTGGGTTATCTAGTGCTTGCTACGAGGAACCTTGACCTGCCTTCTCTTGATAAGCAACTTTTTTTTGAGTTAGTTCTTAGTAGATATGACAGACATGGGCTATAGGCTTCAGTTACGTAAACCAGGCTTAACTAGATGGCTTGAATCTAGTCTTTTTGATCTTATTTTAAGAATAGATGTCCAACAAATACAGTCAGACAGCTTGACTTAGTTGAAGACATCATATAAGGAAAAGGTCACTTACTGCAGTGCCAGCCAAATGTGCTTGGCGTAAGACAAAGCGTGCTTATATCTAGAAGATTGGCATTAAATGCGACAAGATGTTTTTGCAGTATAGAATTTACTGGGCTCAAAAATCTCATAAAAGCAAGGCTCTGACTTTAGCTTAACCATAATTTTGGATAGTACATTTATTTCCTTGACCACTTAACAAAAGAGGATCCGGTGTGAGCATGTGGTCCAATAAGAAACTTCAGAGAAAGCTTATTCAGTATTATCATCACAATATAGAACGAGACCGGCAGATTGAGATTTTTTTGTTTGTTTATTTACACAAGTAATCCTCTGCATTGCCCACAAAGGCCAATACCTTAATACCACCTTCACCTATCATACGCCTGCTTGGCTGATAGTTTTCTTTATGGTGACATTTATACACTTTCACCAGGCCTCAAATGTGATCAGCAGTGGCTAAACCTCCACACATCACACCCTGGCAGGTGTGATGGAAGTGTATCTGTTGCAGCGTGATGTGTTGTAATGATTCACTACCTGGATGGATCCACTATTTTATAGATAACTCCTGCTCTTGCTGTGGCACTCGGGGCTCCTGTGGCTAAGAAATATAGTTCACCTAGAAAGATTCACAGAGGAAAAACAAGCGCAGATGCATGGATAGTGATAGAATAGTTAAAGGGAGACTCATTCACAAAATGGAGAGAAGAGAATATTTTGACAAGAAAATAAGAGAGGAAGAAAGAAGAGAAGAGTGATGGAGAGATTTACAATGAGTACAGATGCAAGAAAGACAAAGCAGATAGAGGACAGAGGGAGAAAAAGAGTAAAACGGGGGACATAGACAGGGAGGAAACAGAGAGAAGACACATAAAAAGTTATGATATATGTCATATTATGGTAAAAATCGGAAAAGGTGTCTTACAGTAGAAAGGAATTTGGACTTTGGTTGAACTTTCAAACTTAAATATGCTTCATGACACTTTGAAAAGCGGAGAAAAATCAGCAGCATGTGTGCTCTTCCTAATAAATCAGCAGTCTCTATAATTCAAACCAGACATTTTAAATGCAACCGTCCTCAGAAATGAGGGCAGTTAAGTAGGAACTGAATATCATCAACAGTAACAGAAGTAAAACATCTCAATGACCTCTTTTTTTTTTTTTTGCTTGGAGCACAAGTGTGGGTTACAAGGACTGTTTGTTTGCACGTTTATACAGATATAGATGTGACCCACACAGTCATTACCTGCTTCATCCTCTGCAAAGGAGATGATGTATTTATAGTGACTGTCGATGAGTTTGGGGAATTTGCAGGTCTGACCTCTTCCCATGCAGATCTCATTGTACTGCCATTCACCTGTGGTGGTGTTTTCCTTGAGAGACATCAGACGCCTAAACAGAAACAGACAGACTGTGTATGCACATACTTGTACGTTTGAGTTAAGAATGTTTCTGCAACTACAGTAACTATGAATGTTGCAGTGCCTTCAGCAAAAAAAAAAAAAAAAAAAAAGAGTAAAGTGATTGGCTAAAAAGCAACAATCAAAGGACAAAAACAGACGTGTGTGTTTTTTAGTAGTTGCGTATACTCTGAATACTGCTACCATGAATTAGACCCTGAATTTCTGCAGCAATGACTGAGAATGTGTCTCAATATAAAAAGCTATAGCTATAGTTTTCAACTAATGGACAAATCTTTGCAATTCTAATGTTTTTTCAACGATATGTGCAATATTGTTATTTTCCACAGCCAGATAAATAAGTGCAATACCTGAACGTCTGCATTCTGCAGAATCTGTACAATATCAACAGTACTTATATACTTAACAGTACTTATATTACTGTATGTTTCTTGTTTTTTTTTTATTTTCTACTGATGTTTCCTACATGTTTGCACTATCCTCTTATTTTATCGTCAAGAAAACGTCTAAAATTGATACATTTATTTAGATTTCAGAAACACACCCGCTCATGAAATCCCCAAAGATGTACAGTCCGTTGAGGTTTGGCATCTGACATCCTCTGTAGATGTATCCTCCTGTCACTGACTTGCCCAACTTGTGAGGGTACGCAAATATGGGTAAGATGTCATCTACGAAGACATTAAAACCAAACAACACCTCAGTTCATGTGGTTACTGTACGATGAAAATGAAAAATGAGATTCAGGTGTGCATGGGAAGTCAGTCGAGCTCACAACCTTAAGTGATAATGCAATAAAGCTTTCAGAGGACAGCAACACTTATTGTAACAATTTAATCCTTCTCAGCAGTTTAGATCATACAAATAAAAATCTCCAAAAACATGGCATTGCACACATCTGTATCCATCATGCAGAGGCCACTTTGCGCCTCTCTGTGTAAATATTTGATCCAGTTTACACACTTTAAGAGACCAAGAAAGTTGACTCACCAAGAGATGAGTTCTGACAGAGTTTTCGATCGTAGCAGCTGAAGCCTTCTTTGGCTCTCCATCCATAGTTGCCTCCTTTAAAAAAAAGTGTTGATACAGTAAAACTAATTAAGAAAAAAGCCATTGTAGAATTTATTTTAATAGGTGTTGCTTCATGATGCAGTAAATATACTGAACATATACTTTTGGACTCACACAGTCTCTATTTGGTAGGAAAAGCAAACATGGGTTTTACCCCACAAGCTGTAATTGAATGTTTATTTCATGCCCTCTTTGGAACTCTGCAAACTCAGATCCCATTCAACTTAATGATTAGTGAGCAGACGGGGATTAAACTAAACTATGTCTGACTCAACGTCTACGTAATCTCAGAGATAATAGTTTTATATGACATGGGGATAAGTAGATAATGACACTTAATTTCACTTAAGAGTGAACTTTAGTTGGAAGCTGATAAAAAAAAAAAGGAACATAGTCAGCGCGATAATTAACTCAGAGTTGTTCATGCTGAAAAAGTGAAATCTCACTCCGAAGTGAAACGTTGCTGCAGTCTGAAATCCTCAAACCTTTTACAATGAGGTCCACCTCTTCATACTTGTTCTGGCCCACGTCACCACAAAACATCCTGCCTCTGCCTGCGCCTGTAGCAGGATCACCACGGTCAATGGAACAACGCCACATGTTGCGAACTCCATAGGCATAAATCTCTGCAAAGAGAGAGCAGATGATAAGAGAGGGAAGAAAGAAAGACATTAACACACAAGCTCCAACACTGTACGTACTTTGATAAGGATTAAATTTAAAGAAACTGTATGCAAAGCCCAAAGCATATGTTACTGGAATGAACAGTGATAGTCCCCAGTGTAGCCACAATTGTGCAATTCGTTTTAAAAGTCCACTTCATGGTCAGAGTTACCAGAAATGATTCAACTTTTCCACACATGCAGTACATTTTTTAGGGGATTTACCAGGTCTTGTCTGCTTCTCCCCCAGGAAAGGGTTATCTGAGGGAATGCTGTACGGAGCACCGTCATCGTTGTTGTCGACATCAATACGCAGCACTTTGCCAAGAAGCACTGACCTGTCAAAAACAAGGAGTACACAGAAGACTGAGGAAGATTTACAGCGGCTTAAAAACTAAGGTGAGTGGCTGAATCTGAGCGAGTGTTTTGCGAAGAACTTCAAAGACTCATCTTCCACAGCTTTTCCATCTGTCTTCATGTCTGTTCTTCATTGCTCTGATTCTCCTCCTCCTTTAAATCCTTTATGCATGTTCTGCCAACCATTCTACCTCATCCATCCTGTCTGTGGTTACCGTCCTACCTTTAGCTTTCTCTTCGTCCAACCTTCTGAGCATAAGTTTCTTCAATCCACTTATCTCGCCATCACTTTCTCCATCTTTTTCCAATCCTCAACTTCCAATCCTCTCCTCCCCTCCTATTCAACTCACTGCATCTTTCTCCTTCCTATAGGCTGGTAAACCTCTCCTTATAACCCTTTTCCAGTTTTTCCAGTCCCACCCTGTGCCCTCTTTCCCCCTCACTGACTCTCTCTCTCCCCTCCACATACCAGTGTGTGGTGGTCCACGATGTGTAGTGTCAATATTAGACTTGGCAGGGTGCATCCTCCCTCATTCCCAGAGCAGCTATTACAGCATGTCGAAAAGAGACCCTCAGAAACAGCTAAACTGTACACGTTTGGAGAAAAGGTGTCAACATCTCTAATATAAACCGAGGTTTCTGAGACAGATGCTACCACTGATATTCAACTTTGGTCTGTCAAGAGGCTTAATGGATTAGATGGCTGTTTTTTACTTTGCAGTGTTGGTGAATGAAACACCATGATCCAAAGTTACTTTTATTTATGGCAATTCACAATTTAACTGCAGCATGTGTATACGAGACTACTCGTAGGCAGTAATATTTGCACGTTCTACGTTGTCTCCCTTGGCTGTTATTGACATTTAAGCCAATGTGAGTTGACCGAATGGAAATGAAAACTGACAGCTGTAGTTTACAGCTGAAAAACAAACCCCACGATGGCAACCACATATACTGTACATGGTTTTATGTAAACATACAAACACACTTTGCCTCAAGATACAGCCTATCTATTGAACCTAACTAATAAATTATGACGTAAAGGCTAATGTGGTTTACGAGGTGAGTAATAATGTCTAACACTGTAAAAGACAAATAGTGCCCTGCAGTCTCTTCAATAAAAGCTCTTTATGTGTGTGTACATATTGCGCCACCTTTGACTTTTCAACTATGATACATCTCCCACTGGCATCTGCAAAAACAGACATCGATGTTGCTTATTCTTCTGCTCATTCCAGACATGAATTGGAAAATGATAAACATCAACCAATAACACATCTGTAAATTCTGCTCTAAGGATAATAATAAACCATGCAGTTTATTCTCAAGCAATTTTAAAACTGTTGCGTTAATTAAACCCTGAACTCTCAGTAAACTAGTACTGTGTGGAGCCTGGCAGGTATGAAGGAAGGATGTGTGTTTGTGATACATGTACAAACAAAACTTTGATTTGTACCTATTTGGATTTAGATTATAGTCTTTGCAGAGCTATCATTCATAGTTTCCACTGAGCCTACTGTAAATTTTCCATAATTTGGATCCTTTTCATTACACTTTACTGGAATTGAACTAACCAGAAGGCATTCTTGGTGGAACTGGCTGGCTCTTTACCTGCTGTGACTTGAGTTTGGCTCTTCGTTTATTTACACTTGTTTACATTGCCAACGTTACAATGACGTCATGGAGGCTTGTAAAGAAAAAATGATGAGCTTCTTCTTCGAGCAATCAGAAAAATCTCTTCATTTTATTTGGCTTAATTATTTTGAATTACATATAAGCCTGAGGATTTATGAGTCTTTGAGCTCACGTAGTGAATGTGAAGCTAATTCGTAGGCGCACATAAATCAACAGTTTGTTATTTTCATACAGATGTTTAGCGTGAGGTGTTAAGAGAGGTGAACGTCGTCGGCCTATCATCCCTCATTCAAACGTGCAAATGACTAATTTAAATGATACTGACTTGTTCTGCGAGTTGCCGAACTTCCCAAATGGGTCTCCAGCTCGCCCACCATCACCAATGAAGATGTACAGATATCCATCGTGACCAAAAAGAAGCTGTCCTCCATTATGATTCGATGCCGGTTCTACCACCTCCAAGATGGTTCTACAACAGGAGAAATAAGAAGGATATTGATGTGCTTGTGTCATCTGAGACACACATCAATACACTACAAGCACATATTTGAGCAATTACCTCTCAGAAGAATGGTCTAGTTGGTTGTCATCGTGCATTGACAGTGTGAACTCGCTGATTCGTATCCTCTCCTGCTTCTTGACGGACACGGAGTAGTACACGTAGGCTTTTCTGACTGTGGTGAATCTATGCACAGAAGAGATGCTTAATTCAATATGTCCCAGTCATACTTCACATGTAGTCACAGTGATGCTTTCCTCTGAAAATAGTGCAGGACGCTACATTTGAACTCTGGACACAACTCTAACAAACAACGAGTGCTGTTATTATGACGGACCTCGGGTGCAGGGCTATGCAGAGGAATCCTCTCTCGTCTCCAGCCCACGGCGATGTGAGAACAGCCTGAGTGAGGTTGAGGAAAGGACGGTCGATCCTGGAGCCGTTTGCCAGATACACCCACACGTAACCCAGCTGCTCGGCAACAAAGAAGCGATGAGTTCCATCATCTGCGTGGATCATGGCCACAGGGTTACGGAGGCCGTTGGCAACTTCCTGCAAGCACAACTCCAGACAGCCTTTGGGATCCTCACGTACCAAACCGAGGTTAGCGTTTAGTTCTGAGGGTGGAAAAAAGCAATGAATAACAACAATGAATATTCTCATGCAAGCTTTAAAATCCTACATTTATTCAGGCAATGTCAGTGTCTGATGGTCGGCTCAACACTTGGATCCAGACTGAAACATCTCAACAACATACTGTAGGTGCATCCCTGGCTTTTCATCGAGCACCACAAGTAGATAGTTTTCATCATTAAACGAAATCTCAGTATCCGCATTAGATGGAGTTGCCGAAAGGTTCGAACAGACATTCATGGTTCCTAGATGATGAATCTGAATGACTTTGGTGATCTGCAGACTGACTCAGGTGTTTGTAACATTGATGAGATGGTTGACTGGTTGACTGGATGGTTAACATGCTGAACATTGTACCTGCTGTGGTTAGCTCAGGTTAGCATTATTGTTGAGCGCTTGTTACCATCTTGATATGAGCATTTAGCACTTCTGTGCTACTTAAAGCTGTAGATTCTGGGAACATTTCAGGTCCCTTAATGTTGTATTTAATTCCTGATGATTTGTTTTGAGGTGTCCTACTGAACACATCACTGTCTCATGCATGAAATATTCAAAAGTTGCAGCCCAGAGCTAGAGGGCAATTAAACGTAGACCAGTAAATGTATATTTTAGTTGCCCTTCTTATTTGAAACTGTTCTGACCTTTATTTTCACTCAGACATATGCTATATCCTTTTTCCTTTGTCTCATATGTTTTTCCAAGACACTGGACGCAGCTCTATCCGGTTATATTCTCTGTGTTTCTGGAATCTATTACCTCTTTCCGTTGCTTCAGGCTATCTATACTTTCTCATCTTATAGCAGTCTGTTTATGTTTTTTGTATTTGTGATTTTAGGACCCACTTGAAAATTAATTCCTATATCTCAAGGGGCTATTCTTTTAATAACTTCCAATTCATTATGTAAAAAGCACAAGGAGCGAAGTTCCTGTTTTGTTAGTTTATGTGAATTACGTGAGCTTATCTTTTTCCCCTTCCCTTCCTCAGTAATGAGAAATGTATGGGTTTTAATCCGTGCATGCGCCTTCTGGTGAACACATACATTTGTCCCGCCTGTAGCCCGTACCTGCATTCGTCAAGACATTAGGATAGCAATACTGTTTGTCCTTCAGCTCCAGAAAGTCACAGAACTTTTTGCGATCTTCTTCTATCATGGCAGTCAAGTTTGCAAACTGCTGCAGGCTTCCGGAGTCCTCCAGGAGGAGGCCGAGTGTGTACCGACACTGATGCCAGTAGTCGTAGCAATAATCCCCGCACAGTCCAGGCACTATCCTCATAGGCGTGTTGGCATCCTCAGTGTCATAGAGGTGGGCAGCGTACGGAGAACACTCCTGCGAAGGAAAAGAGACACTGACTGATCAAATAGAATTTTGAAAATTCTAGTAAAAGTTATGAGAGAGTAATAAATGCAGCAGTTTCTTGTTAATCACTGTTGATAATCCTGCTTTCTCCAACATGGGTTTTGTCACAGATAATATTTGAAAGTATCTGCACTTATTAACTCTTTTTTTAAGCCAAAATATTTATCTCAGTGGTGGAGTTAAGGGCTTGTATGAATCACATAGACACAGGATGGATTTATTCTGCCACAGCTCCTCACCACTTTACTATGACTGGTCAGGCTTGTGTTATATACGGCTCGTCTGAGTGTAGCCCAGTATAAATGGATCCCATAAGGTCCACTCAGTTATTAAGTCACAACCACACTGTCCACACCCAGAATGGTGAGCTGTAGGCACAACCAGCCACGACACCCAAACCATGATGCGGTCGACTGGTGCGCTTTCACTCAGCGCCAGATCAGCCAATGCCGATCATCACCAGGGCAGCAGAGCCCCAAGAGCAAAACAGCACAGAATCGCTCATTTACACATTAAACTTTGGCAGAAGATAAATGTGAAAAAACGACTAACCAGATGCAAGGAGTGCGAGGACAGTACAGTGCCAGGAAAGTTTAGCATGTGGCTGTTTCCTATAGGAGTCATGGCATTGCAAAAGACATATAATTCATTTATTTTCAAGTGACCACATTGCAAAGAAAGGTTTTGGCATTTAAGCAAAAGAGGCAAAAGGTTTAAATATTTTACCCCAGTTAGAAGGAACTTTTTTTTCTTCCATGCAGCAGTTGTAGGCCTGTAGTGTTGCGTTACAGTCGTAACCTCAGCTCACTTTTACAAATGGAGATGGCTGCTTTTGCTCAAAACAATTATGTAACTTGTGGGTTTAGTCTTAAGAGCACTTTCAAAATAATGATGTCACTGGGGCCAAATTTGTATTTCTTGTATTTTTTATTACTGTCATCCAGCAACAAGGCTCTGTATGTTAATTACCTACTGTAACTTTAACAAAGATATGAATTACTTAAGGAATCTGATGGATGAAAACACTTTTGAGCGGTGCATGTGTGCTTGTACCTGAAACGACTGCTTTAAATAATGCATGTCAAACTCAAAAATGGTTTATTAACTATGACACAGTATTAATTATGGATAAAATGTGGAGTCAGAAGAGGAGGAAAGTTCTGTGTGGGTGAGTCACAGAGTGTGTACATGTGCAGAGATTACGACTACTTGTATGTTTTGGTTTAGTTGTCAAATTATTTATCAGTGTTTCTTTGAGTTTGCTCATCACTTATCAGCTGCAGCATTAAAACCACAGACAAGTCAAGTAAATAACATTGATCATCTTCTTACAGTGTAATGTTCTGCCGGGAAACTTTGAGTCTTGGTGTTCATGTGACACCTAAACAAGACCAAAACCTTCTAGATGAAGCATACCCTCCTCCATCAGGACAACATGTTCTGCCACGCTGAAAAAACTGCTCCGGAACAGCTCAATAAATGCAACAAAGAGCACAAACCTTTGACCTGGCCTCCCCAAACTCCCCAGATCCCAGTCTGAACAAACCCAACCACTGGAGGTCCCACTCCACAACGCACAGGACCCAACGGATCCACTGGTAACTCCCAGTACCCGACACCACAGGACAGCCCCAGAGCTATTCAAGGGGGATCTACACAACATTAGGCAAGTGGTTTGAATCCTGTGGCTGATCGACATTTGTTTCTGCACTACTTATAATTTCATCCTTTTTTTTTTTTGCATAATTAAGTTATACTACAGATTAAAACTGTGCAGACAGTCAGAAGTTGGTCAAGGAAGTAAAGCTGCCTAACAGCCATCACGTTTTAAGTAAGAAAATTGGTCCACATCGGGGCATACATTAGAATTAAAAGTTGCTCACAGCTTTTGCAACATATATTATTTGCCAGTTCAAACATTATAATAACAAGAGTGGCAAAATCAATTAATATTTTCTGTGTTTAATCTTGTGCTATCCACATTTTTTGCCCACTGTGGAGCAGGAATGTTGAGGTGGCAAAGGCATGGTTACAGTTTCATCTCTTAGTTGTCTTTTTCTCAGGGCCACATGAAATGAGTGGGTAACTGTCTTTATTTAATTTGGGCTCATAGCTGCAACTGCTGCGCCATCACAGCAGGACCCCAAAGTGAGCCAAAGCTAAAAAAAAAAAAAAACAAGTAACTCATTACCGAGAAAAAGGACCGACACTAAAAACTGTAACAGAGAATTGTTGTTGGAATACTTGAAAGTGCTTTGCTGAGAAAAGATCAGAGCCTTCCTGTGCAACAGTTGGAGCTCTACAGGCCAAAAAGAAAGGCTGCGCTCTGAACTGTTGATGAAAGAAGCTCCTGGAATAAAACTGGGAGCAGATGGAAGCTTGATTGACTGAATTTATTGTGTTTCCTTATTTTGGTTTATATCCTGCATTAGGTTTTGTGTTTTAATCAGGAGTCAGGCAGCCGCGTCACATCACTCAGTGGGCAAAACGGAAGAAATAATACTTAAATCATTTAATTCCCAGTCTTTATCACTCTACAGCACTCCACACTGTCCTCACCTCCCTCGTTTGATTCACTGAAGCCAAAAAAGATGAAAATGCCAGCCAGTGTTATGAGAGAGTTTTAATTTGGGTCCTACTATCATAGGGTAAGATGAATGCATGTAACTACTAACAGCTGTTGTTCCCTAACAATGCAACCACTTCAAACTGTTATAATGTGGTGTTTACGCTGACCAGTTCAGAATAGACTAAGATTCAAACTTGAAAAGGAGCGAAAATTCTATTTTTTCAGTCCGTCTTACAGTCATCTGTCTCACAAACTCCTCATTCTGCACTAACTGGCCCAAATGGCTGTGTTTTATTACAGCTGGGGAGAGCAGAGACTCGTGGCAAACAGATGGCGGCTACATGTGTGAACTTGGACCTGGACTGGTCCCTTAGAGAAAGACAAAGAGAAGAATGAGAGAGGGAGAGAGAGTTAAAAAGACAAAAGAGAAGAAGGAACTTTGCCATAACTTTTCTATCACACTAGGTCTGATCCAGCTGTTTAGATAGATGCAATACATGTGATAATGGTGAAAAAAAAGGAAGAAAACAACAGTTGGTTGGATGCTTTATGTCTGTAGGTTTGTGATTTGTTCTGGTATGGTACATTCATGGTGCGTTTATGGTACATTCAAGTGCTGCTTTGAAAACCTGAACTTTCCGCCGCAGTCAGAGCAAGTGACACAAACCAACTTTTTTTTGTTTTTTTTTAAAAACACATTTAGAAACTATGCCACACTGCTTAAAAGTGCTTATTAAAGATGTAGCGGGGGACACAACTAATTTAAGTTGCCCTGTTAAGTGCTCGCTAAATGTTTCTGGTCTCATAAGGCCCCGAGGTGGGGTTTGTGGACTTTTGCTTCATTATTAAATGTAATATTCTCTCACTCGTTCTCTCTTTTTAATAATGAAGTGTGTTATCTGTGGCTTGTTTTGTGACAAAATAAAACCAAGCCATAAAAGCAGAGAGAAACATCACTAATACAAAACTACTTCACTTTTCAGCTGAATGCTCTTTAAATCTGTCTGTCTGTCTTTATGGAGTTCACTGATCTGCTTTTTTTTTTGCCTTTCATGATCTTATCTTTACGTTATTTCTCTCTCTTCTTGCTCTCTTGCTTTTCCTCGTCCTCCTGCTCTCTCTCTCTCTCTGTCCCTCTCAGGAACTCGATATATATCCTGAACCCCTGGCTGGAGGAGGAAATGGTTGTTTGTTTGGTCAGTTAAGCTCGGGGACGATGACAGTCTCCCTCCTGTCTCCTTGACACACACCAACACTTGCTCATTTCCCCTCTTGGTCTGTCGGTCTGTCTGTTTCTCTCTTAATATCTGTCTGTACGTCTCTCTCTCTCCTCACTGTGTGACTGATATCAGTGCCAGGAAGCTCCTGTAGTGCTGCTGGAACAGAGAGCCTCAGTGTGGTGGGTTTATCCAGGGTAAAGCACCCTGGCAGCGGGGTAACTTGACCACCTCCCTGGCCTCTTTTACCCTTAAACTATCGACCTGGGAGCTGAAAACCACAGCGTGGGTTTTTGTTATTCCAAAGACAAATTTAAAAAGCCTAAACAAAAGGGTCTGTGAAAAATATTTAAAGAAAGAACAGTCAGTGTTGCAGTTATTAATTTAGTCAACTTCTAGTGAAAAACTGATGCACAAAAACTGAAGAAGTTTAAAACCAAAATAGTCTTCTTTATAAGAGAACTGTGCTCATTTACCAGTTACTCCAAATGAGAAAACTGTAAACAGGATTGATATGTGATGTCAAATAACAAACTTCTCTCTCAGCTTCACATAAAGTATTTACATTGTTCTGGAGTCAGCCTATAGTCAAACCAAACTAAGTTGCACATGCGCTGCAGCACTGTCATTACGCTCAAGACGCAGCCTGCACTGCTTGGAAAGCACCACACAAAGCTATAATTACCACAGTGATAGAAACCTATATTTTAGGAGTCAGAGATTTGTCAGTGTCTTTACATAGTGGATGATGTATGAAACAGCTGGGAAGACCTGCAGTTTGTTTTGTTTTGGGTTTTTGTCATTGATTTCTGTATATATTGGGGACGAAAGGGTGAGTCATGCTGCACCCCTCTGCCCATTTCTTTCCCAGCTTCTGCAAAATGAAGTTTTTATCTTTAATATATGGAACGAGCCAAATTTGCGCTGCACCTATAATTCACTTTGCACTCACGATCTGCACGTAGTCAGAATCCGAGCTGCAAAGTCAGCACCTAATTATGCAATCAAGTGAGTGGGACCGCCTTCGAGAAGTGGGATGGATGTGTTTAAGATTAGAAAGCTCCAAAAAGAAACTAAAAACAGCGACACTGAAATAGAAATACTCATTAAATGACATAACTTTCCTAAACATTAACAAAGACTCGGGGAAACTGCAGCGTTTCTGACTGCATTAGTGATAAGATTATCGCGGCAATGTGTAAATTTAGAAACCTTTCCAGGCGAAAACTGTATGAGTCATTACTATTTAAAGAAACACAAGCATGCAAGAGGAAATGTGTACTATGCTGACCAAGTTGTAACTGCCTGGTTTTTACTTCTTAGATAAAAATTATGCTAATTCATTGCATTTAGTGTTACTCTTCCATCGTTTGTATGCTGTAACTGACATTTCCAAGAATAAACTCAGTTTACAGCCTTGTTTGGTCCAAAGACTTCAGGTGATAAAATTAGAAAACTTTCAAAGACTTCAAATTATTCTTATAATGCAATTAAACCTTTTAAACATATTTAGCCGGATTACCAAAAAGTGCAGTAAATGAACTATTAAATTATCTTGTAATCTTATTTTCTTTTTTTTTTCATTTAGTCTTTCTGACCCAGAGGCGTGGAGTCCAGCTTACTCATGTCTACATCTGTGTCTCATGAGAGAGAAGATAGTAAACAAATGCTTTCAGGGAATGTGAAGGGGATGTAGTTTACTCTTACTGTATACAGTGCACAAATGAGAAAAGGGGAAGTCATTGAGTCTTATTTGGAGTTGCTGTGTGACAATTTCAAGTCAAAAATCTTGTGTCATTTCACTATTTTCTATTGGAAATCTGCCCTGGTGTGAAAAAAAACAAACTCTCTGACTCATCAGATTTCCCCTGGATCCAGTCCTAATGTTGTGATCATATCCTCTGTGTGTTCTTTACTCCCGACCAGAGTTTAAATGTTTTGTTGCACAGCATTATTGGCTTACTTAGTCACACACACACACACACACACACACACACACACACACTCTCACTCACACAGTCCAGTTACAAGCCAAACCATCCAAAGCTCATGAGACATTAGTTAAGACTGCGGTTTAGCTCTCCAAGCATGAGTAACTGCTGTCTAGCATCCTTCCATGTAGCCATTTCACCACATGTTTGGCTGGTTACTGTACTTTGTTGCGATAAGGTTCTCATTAATGACAGTCTGCAACATGTTTCCTGTGGAAACTTGTATTCTCAGGAGGTTGTGATTATTTTATCGGTGCTTCATATACTATAAACGCCATTATTATTACCTGACAAACAAAGCAGGGGTTAATGTTCTTGAATTGAAGAGTTCACAAAACACACACAGGTATGATATATTGAAAATCATAACATAGTTATTGAGTTCTAGACAAATCTACACTTTGCATTATTTATGATCTCAAGCGGGGACTGTGTACTTATGATACACAGTGGAAAAGGTGTGTGTGGTTCAAAATAGCAAATATCATCCTTTTCAGATCTGAAAGTGTAGGAATCATCAATCAAACACAGTGATCACTTTTTAGCACAAACTCTGAGACTGAACGTCTGTCTTACCTGACAAAGGATGCTGCGTATGTATCTGCCACAGGTTACGTATCCTGAATGGTCAAAGTTGTCCATAATGTTGTAAAACCTACGCGATATCTCCTCATCCTTTACCACATCGCAGCATCCAAACTTGGAGTACTCTTTGCAGAAGAGCAGTGGCTGATGGGGCTGAAACGGAGGCTTGTAATCCAAACACTGGGGGTGACAGCTCCCCCGCCAGGCTTGGAGGAGCAGCAGTAGGAAGGAGAGAAGGTGGTGACGGGAGAAGATGCACTGATTGCAGGTCTTTAGGCTCATGTTTTACAGGTGATGTCTCTCAGTTTAGGATAGTTTGTCTCTTAAACCTAAAAATGCAGTGACTTAAAGCAGCTTGTGTGTGCTATTTGAGTTTAATATGTGTGAAAAGGGAAGCCAGTGTGCATGTTACATCTCCACCAGCATCTATGATATGCAGATATGAGACTGAAAGTCAGATTTTCTGCAACATATTTGATGTTTTCATTTGATGTCCTGCCCTCAGGCAACCATGTGTACGTGAATGTGTGTATCAAACACACTGACCCAGCATCACACCTGCCCGCAAGTTGGCCAGAGACCTACAAAGAGCTCAGGATTGGTTAAATTACCAACCCACACATCGCACTCATGTGGCAAGCTGACCCAGGGATGTGTGCAAATAAGATAAAATAAGGTCAAGCTGATCCAGAGCCAGTAAATTCTTTAGATCAGGAGATCTACGGTGTCGTCCAGGAGGTTGGTGGAAGTCCCAAAGTCCTGTGATGGGAAGAGATTCATTTTGTGTTACTCATTTTATAGCAACTGCACAAACACTTGCACATTGCAACACTGATTCCAAAGAAAGAGAAATCTTCCAGTTACTGAAGCTTAACAATCATCACATGGCAGTACCTCAAAAACAAGTTCATTTCTGCAAACTAGAAGTAAACAAGCAGTGAAATTGCTAAGAACTAATTCAGCCTCAAAAAAAGCATTTGAAAATCACCTTCAGCCGACGTTTCTGCAAAATATTTACTTCCAGCCTGAAGTCACTTCTCGCTGTGTTTGCTCTGGACGTGCCCATGTGCTGCAGTGGACATAAGCCATTCATACAGACAGCAGGAGAAAGAGAGAGAGAGAGGTTCTTTCATTTAGACACAGAGCCACGCTGCAGCCTTCGCCGAGATCCCTCCCTCCTTGCTTCTTTACCTCCTCCTCCTCCTCTCTTCTTTTGCTTTTTTCACTCTCCTACAAAGACACATGCATTCCTTCCCATAGCATGCGGTCCATATTGCCCTGAAGTTGCAACTTTCCGCCTCTCCTCCCTCTGAGTCGAGCTCCCCCCGCCCCCCGCACCTTTAGCATTCCCAGACTCCCTCTCTTCTGTCTCTACCGGTTCCAGACAGACTCGCTCACACTGCTGTGTGTGTGTGTGTGTGAGTGTGTGTGTGTGTGGTCAGATGAATCAGGACGTGTGCTGGAAGTACAGACCAATGGATTCTCCAGGCACAATTCCAAGCCTGAATCTTATGTTAAAGAGCGCAAATGGCCACATAATTACATAACTTTAAGTATTTGTAGCTGCTTCCTGTTGCAGCGGAACAGAACCCATTCTTAAAAAGAACTTAAAATATTGTAAACACTCATTAAATATTTCACATTGTTGAAACCTCTACTATGCAATTTGTTTGTATTTATTTTTTCTGTCTTCTCATCACGTATTAAAGCAGAGAAATATCACGTTTCAGGTACCTTCGACACTACAGAGCGTTTTAGTGTCTGTCAACTCATTATTTTGGTTTGAGGCCCACAACTTTACTGTCTTGGTTTGCTCTCACTGCTCTCACAGCACCAGTTTTTTGCCACAGCATGCAGCTATATTCAGTAAATTAAAGCTCCAACAACCCACCACACAGTACCAGAGACAAAGTTAGCAACTAGCTGGTGAACAAAGTGGAGCTTTTTAGCACTCAAAGTATTTGAAGAGTTCATTTGAAAAAAAAAAAAAAACAGATAACTCCATTTTTGTAGATTTTCAGAAAACTTATATGTATATTTTTTGTTTGCTTGAGATAATATCAGTCAAACTGAAGTTGAGTGGATTTGACTCAGTAGAAATGACAGGACAAAAATAGAGATAACTTAAGTTTGATTGTTATTGTCTCAGGTAGAGGATGGAAAAGTGGGTTTTCTGAAGGTTTGTGAAGATGGAATCATCTGTTTTTGTAAATGAACTCTTCATTTCCTTGCTGGTGGAGACTAAAATGGAGCTGAAAATGTGTGAATATTAAATTTAAATTCACAGACTGGACAGACAGCGAATGCTAATAATGGATAAAACTTGCTGGATGTGCTGGATCTTATTTTTGCTATGATAGTGACTTATTACAGACTTAAATAGGCACAGACAAATAGTTCAGCAGATACAGTGTCATCAATCAGATGGCTTTGGAGCTCTTCAGGTGGTTTGATGTTATTTTGGAGGGGTTTGCATTTTATTTTGTCAAATTTGGCAGCTCTCGGGGAATTGAATACGAAAGGAAATCAGGTCTTTCTTTCCACTTGCTTCAAGAACAAACAGTCATCTGAACCTTCAGTATTTTTACTCAAATGTTTATAAAATGTTGCTGCCCGTGATGAAGCCCGCGTAATGGATGAGCAGTGCTTTGCATGTGCATTTGGTTTGTGTCTTTGTGATCCGTATGTATGTGTGTGTGCGTGTGTGTGTGTGTGTGTAGACATACCACTACCATCTGTGTCTCATTACTGCAGAGCCACCTTTCAGATCAGCGAGTGACTCCCATCTGGCTGGCCGGCTGTCAGACACTTCATCACTCCGCACTCATAGATTCAAACATAATCTACAGCCAGCCGCTCCCTGGATTAAATAGATATGGGCAACTTATCATGTTATATAATTTTACGGTTCACAGTTCTAATAGACTGACGTAGCAAAACATTACTCTAGATAAAAGTAGATAGCGTAAAGTATTCCCTACTAAAGCTGGTAGATAACCCCAACAGAGTCAGACTAGTACTCACTTTGTGGTGGAGGCCCCTAGTCAGACGAGTACTTGTTGTTGTTTTTTGTGTTTTTTCCCTAATCTTCCAAGTGGCTTTTTACACAGACAAATGAAATTCTACACAGTTCCGCCGCTGTGGGTCGATCCCATCTACAGAGACATGATGAGACTTGTGCCACGAGACAAAAAAAGGCATTTTTCTGCACACGGTGTTTATACTCAGCTTGTAAAATGTGTTAATCTTTAGTATGGCTGAGTGAGTGAGTCAGTCTTTACTGGAAAAGACAGAGAAACACACAGCTGTGCTGTGGAGGTAACCAACCACATCGTCTCTATCTTTATTCAGACACAGTGTAGGAGAATTAAACAAAGATATAAAACGGCGATGTTGCTGTATATCTTGTAGTCATTCTCTGACTCTGAGTTGACTCCAAGGACAAGTCGGTTACACAAACACGCACATTTAATGTCATGTACACAGTTTATTCTAGTTCAGTCATTCGGCTGCTTTGTTTCATAATCCAGCGAGTTGTCAAAATAAGCACGTTTTGTTTTTAGAATGAAAGCAATTCGTCCGTTGTTTGTTTAAATGTGTGTGTTCTGCATGTCTGCAAGGGGTGATTATAGTTTAGACATTTTTCTTTCTTTTCTGAATAATGCAAAATGGTTGACTGTGGATGATTCTGCAAAACTCTGCATCACTTTCATCTGCTTTTTTAAATTATTTATCCATACAAAGTCATAATCGACCTGTCCAGGGTGTCCCCTGCCTTCACCCTAAGTCAGCTGGGATAAGCTCCAGCACCCCCACAACCCCAGTGAGGATTAAGCGGAGTATAGATAATAGATGGATGGACAAAGTCATAATGATCAAAGTTGATAAACAATATAAATATCCTAACTGTGGTTATTTTTTTTACAAAAGGCAACATTAATTGTTGGTCTGAAAACAGATGCAAACTCTTGTCTTCTCCCTGACTTCCACAAACCTACTTTTCTACATATGGATTACACTTTACACTCAAGATTTCATATTGACGCTGGATATAAATAGTTTGCTGTAGAATTATGAGATATTAATGTTCAGTCCTCACAAGACTTGAACAGTCAGACATTGATATAACAATGCCAGAAGCACAATGTCAATCTAAATGTTACTGTATAAAACCAGTTTTACCTACAAACTGTGACCGACTCAACCCTGCAGTGTTTGCTCGTGCTCAGACTTTACATTTGTTGCTCTGCAGATTTGACTTTTAAACTTAAAATCCCATGAAAAATGTGATTTGGTAAATGTTCCTTTGCTTTCAACTTCTTCTGCTGCAGGAGGAAAATTTCTTTCAGTTCATCTTAAAGTTAGACATCAAACATTTGCCTATGGGCACAATGTATGTTATCATAACTTGTTTGGAAGAAAAACCTGGCCCAACAGGCAGCTTACACAACGTTAAAACCTGAAGCCCATATTTTGAGAATAGACTTTTAGTGATGTAGGAGATGTCTACGTATATAAATATATTATGCATATCTTTGATCATTGCTGGAAGGGATCCTTTAAATGTCAGTTTACCTTTAAAAACTGAGACCAAGAGAGACCAAGTTTGCATCATTGTTTTCTTCTGCCCTTCTCACACCATATATAGACATCTTTGAGCCAGACTGGCACATTTATTTAATAAAAACACTGTGGCATGTGTGTGTTAGTGTTTCTGTGTATATCAGAGACAGAAAGAAAGACAAAGACATCAGATGGGAAACAGATTTCATGTCACAGACAACAAAGCGCTATACTTCAGTTTTTTGCTCTCCAAAAACATGCATTCCATGAATATATTTAATGCAGATTCCATGCTGGAAAGGTCACCGAGCATATGTTTGTTATGTAATTGTGATACGTTTTGGGCACATTGCTCAATAATTTATTATTAGAATTGATTTCTTTTGGTTTTCGAAGTATACGGAACATTTAAGCTGGAGGTTTGTTCACTATTATTTCCCTAAAACACAGATATAAGAAGTGTCATCTGAATTCTGGTTAAAGGCGTCTGTGTAGCAGCTTGTTTATCTCACAGATGAGCGTGTGCGGTCAGGCAGCCCTGCTCTCACGTCTGAGGAGATGTCACTGTCCACCCATCCAAAAGCTTTTGGTTGCCAGTGAACACAAAGAGGCCAATTTAGAGTCACCCATTAACCTGCCACGCACGTCTTTGAACTGTGGGAGGAAGCAGCAGCACCCGTTAATGACCCAGCAGGAATATACAAACGCCACACAGAAAGACTACAGCCGAGCCGACCTGCAGGCTCAATCCCAGAAGTCTCTTTCGGTGAAGCAGTACGTCACTTTACCACAGCAGTCTGGTTCTTTAAACTGTCACTTCAGCCTTTATTGTCAGTGTACATTATTGATTGAATTCTTTCATGACGCGCTCCCCCATTCCTGATCAGATGTGCTGCCAAAGAGGCCAGCGTTGATTGTTTTTGGCTTAAAAACCGTCACAATGCAGCCACGGTGACAGATTTTGTGTGTGTGTGTGTGTGTGTGTGTGTCTTCCAGGAGATGAAGTGCTTTGGTTATCTTGGATTTATTTGTGCCTTTGCAACATTGAATTTATGATTCCTACCCACTGTTGTACTTCACTGGAAAGAGACAGCTCCAGTGTTTTCCAGATGACTGGCTTGATTATTTGCTGAATGTGAAGACTGGATTCCATACTGTGTGTTATCCTCTCCTCAGGGTTAAAATCAACAGCATATATATTGTTTATAAAAACCTTTCCTGATTTTTTAAAAATTTATTTTTTGTTTAAAAAGCAAATTCTAATCCATACTAAAAAGTTAAACCCTATTCAGGACTTTTGGGATCTGTTGGACCCCAGGCTATTTGGTTGACAGGTATTGTTTTTTTTTTTGTTTTTTTTTTTGAAGATGTTTTTTAAATATAAAAAGAGGGACATTTGTCATGCATTTGGAACCAAAAACACGTCAACTTATCAGAAAAGGTCTAAATATTTTGCACATATTCTTTCTTGGGGTCCAGTGGACTCCGAAAGACCTTCTACATATGACAGCATGAAAGTCCTGAATAGGGTTAAATTGTAATACTTTTGAGTCCTTACCTGATGTGAATATTTGATATAGCAAGGCAAGAAGG